ATGCGCACGTTTCATATTAGAATTTATAGAAATAATTTTACAAGTTCACTCACCGATGCTCTTGTCAAAAACTTGACATTTGCATTCGCTCCTTCTACGTTTTGCATCTTTTTAACTACTAACATGTTTCTTAGATTCTGGAAAACTGGCTATTGGTCAAGTCATCTTGGACACAGAAAATACCATATCAGGTTTTGTATGTATATATATATATATATATATATATATATATATATATATATATATATATATATGTTGGTAATAGACCATAATTTTTACAATATTCTATAAATTCTACCGAATGTTTGGCGTTAATATGTTTGTAGTTCGTTTACATATATATATATATATATATATATATATATATATATATATATATATATATATACATATATATATATATATATATACATATATATATATATATATATGTGTGTGTGTGTGTGTGTGTGTGTGTGTGTGTGTTTATATATATATATAACTTAACTATATAACTATATTTATAACTCTCACACGTATGTGTGTGCACGTACGCGTACGTGTGTGCGTGTGTCAGTGTGTGCGCATTGTATATATTGCCCTGTGTGTGTGTTTTACTTTGGCGCTAGTAAATGGATAATTGAAAAATGAACAGTCTTCGATTCTACGTAAAAGTTGTTATAATAATGGGAAACTTCAATGTGTTTTTTTTCATTTGCAGCGCTCTGTATGTAGTGGATCTGAAAAGGTTCCGAAGGATTGCGGCCGGTGACCGACTGCGAGGACAGTACCAGGGTCTCAGTCAGGATCCGAACAGCCTGTCCAATCTTGATCAGGTTTACACCGTCGCTAAAAAGTGTAATTTTATTTTGTGATATTGAGTTGACATCGTCATTAAAGCAAAATGCAAAAAGCGATTTTTAAAAATTTTTATTCATAACATGAAAGCAGTTGAAAGCATTTATAAATATTTTTAGTCGAATTTGTAAGTTGTAAAGTACAATATGGTACAAAACAAGAATTTTATATCGACACTATACACAGATATATCAAAGTAAGCATTAAAAAACAATTAATATGATACGTTTTTACAAATTTGTTTAAATGGAAATTGCATAAAAGTTAAAAAATGCTTCGGAGAATCAAAACGTGAAAGCTGAAAAGCAATATTCATCGAGAAAAATTTCAACAGATTGTCGCCACACAGTTAGACCACCAATCGCAAGCCAGTACAGATTGGAGTACATACAAAACCGTTTTAATGAACGCTACAACTACAGTTTGTGGGAAAACTGGTACAAAACGTCAGCATGAACGTGACACTTGGTGGTGGAATGACAGTGTACAAAACGCAATAGCTGAAAAGAAAGTTGCATACAAGCAATGGCAAAAATCAAAGTTTGCAGATGACCATAAAATTTTCCGTGAGAAGAACAACTATGCAAGACGTCAAGTTGCACTGGCACGGACAGATCAGTGCAGAGAGTGGCTCACTAAAAGCAAAGGTGAACAAATGAAATCTCTGTATCGTATAGCAAAACAAGCAAAGCGTACGAAAAAAGACGTAGTTGGTGCCTCATGTATCAAAAACGACAAAAATGAGATGGTTCTTGAACAAGATGAGATCAAGCTACAATGGAGAGAATACTTCAACCGTCTGTTAAACGAAACAAATCCCATCAATGTTAACTTTGACGCTCCACCCACCGAAGGTCCGATTCCAGACATCACTTTAGAGGAGCTTACAGAAGCTCTGAAAGCTATGAAGGATGGAAAGGCAGCAGGGCCCTCTGGACTCACAAATGACATTATCAAAGCATCTGGTACTGCAGGTATCCAAACGTTACTACAACTTTGCCGTGAAATCTGGAGAAATTGCTCAATGCCGACTGAATGGAACTATAGCATGACAGTCCCGCTATATAAAGGCAAAGGTGATCCATTGAACTGTTCATCATATCGAGGTATACGTCTGTTAGAACACTCCCTGAAAATTGTCGAGAAAATCATTGAGAGAAGATTAACGTCGTGCATCACAATCGGAAATTATCAATTTGGTTTTCTAGTGGGGAAATCAACAATTGATGCAATTCACATCCTTCGGCAACTGCAAGAGAAATACCTCGCGAAGCATCAACAACTATCACACATTTTTGTAGACCTTGAAAAAGCATTTGATCGAGTTCCCCGTGAAGCAATCAGGTGGAGTCACGTCGACAACTCATTCCAGAATATCTTGTTCGACTTGTGATGGAAATGTATACGAATACTAAGACTCTTGTCAGCACAACGGTTGGAAACACAGATGCATTTGACATCGGCGTTGGAGTTCACCAAGGCTCGATTCTCAGTCCACTGTTATTTATAACTGTGATGGAAGAAATCACAAAACCGATACGCACTGGTGACATTTGGAATCTAGTATATGCTGATGATATCGTTTTAACAGCCACGTCTGAGCAGAATGCAGTACAGATGTTTGAAGATTGGAACACCAGACTCGCCGATCATGGATTCAAAGTCAACATCAGCAAAACCAAAGCAATGAACACTGGTGAACCCATCCAATCCACAGATAGTGGACGATGGCCCTGTTCTGTTTGTAAAGCTGGTGTAGGTAACAATTCAATCAAGTGTCAGCAGTGTAACCAGTGGTGTCACAAACGTTGTTCAAAAATAATTGGTTCTTTATCTAAAGTGTCCAATTTTGTTTGTCCTACTTGCATCAATCCACAACAACAAATTCGAAATAGCACTGTTTTTGAAGCCATTAAAATAGAGAAAGTCACATCGTTTCAATATCTAGGAGATGTTCTGGATTGTACTGGAACAGCTGAAGCATACGTGCAGCCTGGAATAAATGGCATCTCCTTGCCTCTATATTGATGCGGCGTGACATCCCACTACCACTACGATCAAGACTTTATAAATCTGTGATACGTCCGGTGTTGTTATATGGTGCAGAAACATGGCCAATGACAACCAAACTGGAACAACAACTTCAACGAGCCGATATGAAAATGCTCCGATGGATGCAACGAATTAGTCTGAAGGACCACATCAAATCTACCGAAATCCTGCGTCGTGCTGGTTTAGATGATATAAAGGACGAATGCCGACAACACCGTCTGCGGTGGTTTGGTCATGTCAAACGAAGTAGAAACAGTGCCATAACTTCTCTTGCAGATGTTGAAGTACCTGGCACACGTTCCAAAAGCCGTCCAAAGAAGTCCTGGTCGCAAACAATCGAGCAAGACATGAAAGCTTTAAATTTAAATGAAATGGATACAACTGATCGTCTAATTTGGCGCAAAAAGTTGATGGCAAAGAAAACAACGTCCTACCTCGGGGAACCGGGTCTCTGGACGCAAAACGAAGATTGATTGATATTGCTGTCGATTTATTATTTGTTTTTCTTAAAGTACGGCCTGATTTATGGAGTATGTTAAGGAAGGTTTCAAATCGGTGTAAAGATTTATTAGTTACCCGATTTTTAATATTATTAAATTTATTAAACAACTGCTTTACAATTGAGGGGCATTTTTTGAAACCGTATCACTTCACCTAGGATCAGTTAAGTTTGTAATATCAAGATGATATTATATATGATATTACAGTTCATGAAAGCTCTAAATTTAAATGAAATGGATACAACTGATCATCTAATTTGGCGCAAAAAGTTGATGGCAAAGAAAACAACGTCCTACCTCGAGAAACCGGGTCTCTGGACGCAAAACGAAAATTGATTGATTGCATAAAAGTTAAAAATTGATGTATTATTAGTGCACCACTGCAACTTTCAAACACGTTAGCTCACATTTCATCTTATGCTTAGTTGATTTTTTGCACAGTGTCCGATTGTCGGAGATTTTTGCCGGGGTCGGAATTTTTCATCCGACACTTACTCCGAAAAATGTTATTAATTTAAAAAAATGTTTTTTTTTTCTGAAAATTTTTTTTAAATTTTGTTTTTTAAAAGATAAATACGTGTAGCGTTAAGCAATCGTCTTTAATACTGAAAATAAATGCTAATAATTTGAATAAAATCACATAATTTTTTCCATTATATTTGAAAACATTTAAATAAAGTAATTTTAATAAGAAAAACAATTACATTGACTGATTTTAAGTGTTTTTTAAAGTATTTTTTATTCAGTAGTGATAGTAAAGTGAAGTTATGATGCAAAAGTTGAAATTTTTTCTGGGAGTCGGAACCGAGTGTCGGAATCGTAAATTTTTACCAGCAGTCGGGGCCAGAATGTAAGTTGGATATTTTTCATCCGACTCTGACACTCTGGTTTTTTGCCATTGATGAAATTAAATTGATGCTTTAATTAAAAATTTGATTGTGTATTTTCTTATAATTTCTTTCCTCAGGATTTGCCTAACAACATGATACATCAAGTAGCCATAAAATCACTGCCTCAAGAATGGTTGTGGTGCGAAACTTGGTGCAGCAATGAAGAAAAATCAAAAGCCAAAACGATTGACCTGGTCAATAGCAAGCTTTCACTTTTTATATTTGTTTATATTTCTTCATTCGCCATATTTGCCATTAAAGTTAAGCCTTATAAGCTACCTGTTGGTATCCTATTTATTATCAATTCAGCCAAGCACCACCAAAAAAATGATTTGAGTCGCTTTATCGTTTTGAGTTTTTGTTAGAATATTATGATGAAATATTTATCCATGAAGCAGGAAGCAACCGAAATTGTCATTAGGTCACCATTGGAGCGCCGTGTCTTGCGCTGATAATGCGCGGTGGCATGGTTAGATACTTTCTGTCTAAAACTCAAAGACCATCATACGCGTATGATGCGGTACTTGCGCTTGCATGCATTGCATAATGTCTAGGTGTGTCGTGTCGTGTGAATAGTGTACAGCCTTTGTGGCATGAAAGTTTAATTATTAGTGTGGACAACATGTAAGCAGCTCTGCGTTTGACAGCTGCATTATAAAGAATAATTTAAGACCATTTAATGCCTAACTAATGAACAATACTTGACTATGAGTTTGCAAAATTTTTATATCAGTCTACAGCCAGCGCCTGATATTGATGGTGAAGCATTAAACTTTTTAAAATAAAATTGACACCAAAGATTTTGATAGTAATATTTATCGTGTTCGTATGCAATTTCAGTGCAATAATCCTAAGACAAAAGAACCAAAACTAGAAGCAGCCATGAGAATCGTTGATGAATGGAAGAGTTACGATGATGAAATTAAAAGGTTGTGGGACTCTGTTTATTCGCAAAATGAAACAGATTCAGAGCAAAAACATGAAGGTTAAATTTTAAATAAATTATATTTATTTATTTAATAGTGACTGAATAACTTAAAATATTTTTGTAGGTCATGTTGAATTGTGATAGAAGAAATGTTAAACATCTCTTTTAAATTTATATATTTGTTATAGAATGGTGTAATTAATTGATAGTGTCTAATAAATTTTTACTCGACGTAATAATGTCCTTTGTGATACAATAAAAGTGTTGTCTTCGTTTTATCCATTTGAAAACTTGTAAACACTTACTGGAAATTGAGTTGACGTACGTTTGGATGAAAAGCTGTATCATCTACACGTGTAACTCGCTCCAAATTGCACGCTACATTTTTTACCTTGTTTTTCACATTTGTTTTGAAGGTGGCAAAAGTTTCGTAACTTAGAATTCGTAAAATTAAAAGCCTCAATTCTTTTCTGCGATACTCAGCTGTACCGGCGTGTCATTGATATCTCATGTGATGTAACATCACTTTCCAGTAAAGAAGCTGTTCAAACCTCCAAACCTATAACTTGTGAGTCATAAGTTGTAAACCTGGGGAACTAACTCCTGGCCTCTAATTTTACTTGGCTTTCCAAAGACCTAGTTCTTTCTGGTCAATGTGCATTGTTCTTTTTTATTTTCAATAGTAGTTAGATTTAAAGTTTCTTGACATAGGTAACATAATGTGACAGTTTAACATTTATGTATAACAAAATTCATTCATGTTATTTATCTACCTGCTAGACCTAGATTCTTGCCGATATATTACAATTGCAAACCATTTTAAATAATCGTTAACTAAGTGACCCTATAATAGTCTTTGATAAAATTAAGATATTTTAAAACATTGCTCAAACTTCGGTAACATTTTAAATTCAATCAATATTCGTAAATGGTGTTTCAAAAGTTCTGGCATTTGACAAGCATATTTTCTTGAAATCACAAATACAACAGTTCAGTGATTTAGTTTAAAGTGTATTTTGACGCGTTGACCCGATATGAATAAAATGATTCTGTTAGAGGACCATTTAAATCATCAATTTTCACTTAGAATTCAGCTGTTAGTCTACTGTAGCACTTAATTTATTCATCTGTGTCCACTAGTGTCTTTTTTATTTAATTCTCTGTGTGATTACACTACTAGTGGATTACATAAGTATATAATTGTTTCCATATAAACATTTTCCAAACGGCGAGTGCATTTAAAACATTATTTCATTGAAAAGTTGTAACCATCGCCAACGAGAAAAGTTTAATTAAAAAGTAAAAATAAATCCGAATCACATTGTCTTCGAATTAACTATCGGGACATTACATTGCCTCCTACAGTATCAAACTATGGCGTATAAAATTATTATTTTTATAATAGCAGTTTTGATAAACTTTGACTGCTTAAAAAGGTATGGATTCAATCACAAATATATATATATATATGTGTGTATATATTTAAATACGTTGGAAGGAGACCATATTGTATAAATATATATATATATATATATATATATATATATATATATACATCGTGAAAAATTAGCACAGTATGAAAATTTAATCTTAATTTATTGTTTAATAGATGATGCTGAGTTTATTTATCTGTAGAGTATTTTGTTACTGATTGTACGTTTTTCTTTTATTCTGGTACCATTTGTTTGAATAAAGTCAATTGCGTTAACGTACTGAGGGCTAAAAATATCCAAAAAAATATTCTGTCGGTGAATTTGGCCAAAATCCTCCATTCTATTTCTATCACATCTTGATCAGCAGGATTCTGAACCTGTGTTTTGTCATTTGTTTCAACGTTTCCAATTGAACAGTTCACGGAAGTGCAATTAAACGTTTTCATGCTCCTTTTTGATTCAGTTGTTGCAACAAGGTTTGTACTTTTCGTGAAAATTTTTGTCCAATTCAACTTATTTGTTTGGCGCATTTCATAATTGCAAGTTGGTCTATCGACAAAAGGATACATATTGTTGCGCCCATATGATTCCATGTTTTTTATTCTCATAGAAGGATCTAGGGAGCAACGAGGAGTTGCGTTGTCAGCCCACGTGGGTCTGATTGGTATTGTCGTGGCACCAATCCTCTGAGGTACGTCATTTGCTTTTTCAGTGCTTGCAACATTCTTATTGTCACTAACGCATACCGATTTTCTAGAGATTGGGTAAAATTTGGAGGCAATATTTAGACACCAAATGGGAGCCCTGTCCTTAGAATCTTTTTTGGCGTAGATGTTGGTAACAATAACTGCCATTACCAAAGCCACCGTTACCATTACCATAGTTGAACCAAAAAACATCCCTTAAAAAATAATAAAAAGTAAAATAATTACCTTATATCTATAAATTATCATCATTATAACATCATGAAGATACTAATTATAAACTCTTATTGAAAAAAATAACAGCATGTCCCGCGTTAGTTAGCCTCCTGTTTAGTTTTTCGATTTTTCTAACGGTTGATCGTAAATCGTTCTCAAGTTTCTTCAGTCCTATCGCACAAAGTTGATGATTGTAAAACAAATTAAATGATCGTTAAGCATTCACTTTGAACAAACAAAGAATCAACAAAGTAGAGACACAGTATATCTATATTTAAGCATCTGGCCACGTACCCAACGTATCAATTCGAACACCGAAGATGGTATAGGAATAACGAAAAAAGCTTTTTTGTTCTGTCATGCTTAAAATAAATAAAAATTTTGGTTTTGAACTCAAGAAACTTGAAAATGATTTACAACCAACCGCTAGAAAAAGCGGAAAAATAAACAGGAAGCTAACTAACGCGGAACATGTTGTGATTTTCATCAATAATTGCATTTTCTGACAGTCTTAACCCAATATATATATATATATATATATATATATATATATATATATATATATATATATATATATATACCTATATGTGTTTGTGAGCGCGTGCGTATGTGTTTAATTTAATTGATATCAATGCATGCAAGCAACAACAACAGTTAAATAAATAAGAATGATTGCATTAACAACCTGTATAATAATAAGCAATTTAATTGAAATGATCGTAACCCAAAATTGGAATGGCGTCGGGGGTAGGTGGCATTGATTCTCCAACCATCAGCAAAAAAACAACCAAAGCCAATAATATTGTCATCTCTAGGTTCACTTTTTCTCCAGATTCTACTGGAAGAAAGAATCCCAAAAAACTTATGAGAAATATGAGGAAACATGGAGCGATAAGATTGACTATGTAGAAGAGGCTTCCTCTTTTCATGTGAATTGTAAATGTTATGTCTGGATAGGGTTCAACGCAGCAGGCATATTTCTTCTCGTGCCGTTCAGTGGTTATTTTCTCAACGGCCCATTCCTTCATCAAAACAAAAAATAATGTTAGACGAGTGAATAATTTATTTTATTTTATCCATTCACACACACACAAACACACTATTTTTCCTTCGCAATTCTTTGAGATTATATACAATTTTTAAATATATCTTCTTTTGTACACGTCCAATGTATGTGGGTATGTTGTTGTATAGGTGTAATTGTATAGACGTCATACTTATATGAATGAATGTATGAATGAATGAATGATAGAATGAATGAATGAAGGAAGGAATGAATGAAGGAAGGAATGAATGAAGGAAGGAATGAATGAAGGAAGGAATGAATGAAAGAAGTCAAGAATGAATGAATGGTAGATTTTAAAATATGGTTTTATGTGTTAACAGAAATGTATATTAATTGATGCGTGCCACTTTTTAATTTTGTATGAATACTTTACAGAAATATTTTTATTATATATATTTCTAATTTTAATTTTTTTATTTTTCTTTTAACTTTCTTGTTTTTTTTTGTTTTTCATGCCATGCATGTTGTACTATTTTCTGCGTCTGACTGAGTTTGTTTCTTTACAGATAAAAAACACTGGTTACTCGGTTTGAGAGTAACTCTTTTCATCGTTTGTTAAAAATCGAGTAGTTTCTGCTAACAAGACCAAGATTTTGTAATTCCACTGAGATGATGGTGTCCATCAAGACCGTTTGAATCTTCCACCAGAGATGTTGTTATAAATTCTGAAAAAAGGCAGAGCAATCTCCCAATAATTCTAGGAAGTTGACGCTTATGATCATTTGGATTATCATTGAAAGTTCGCCTAACTAAGTTGATTGAATATAAAATATATAAAATAACACAATGTCAAGGCTATACAAAAATGTACAACATTCTAGACGAACACGATTGAACAGCACAGTACGGTACATGATTGTACAACACCGTAGACGATTGCACAAAAAGAATATTTTCTTTTTAATTAGAACGAATGACGACGTGTGTACTTTACATAGATGACTATCAATGTTGATGCTGTAATAAGATGCACATGCACCTACATGATATATCTTAATATCCAAATCTAATCACTTTGTGTTCCTGAGCAACCATGCTCGTTAGAACTCCGATGAATAAATCTCAATTTGCTCACCTTGTTGTATATTAAAATGTTTTTTGACAAAACAAAAAAAAACAAACTTGATTTTTTGAAACATAATAAACTTCATTTCTTTCATTGGACTCGTTGTAAACCAAATCCAGCTCATGTCCGTTGTAGGTCCACGAAATGAGAACTATGTCGCAAGTTTGACTATCGAATGGGAAATATTTAACATTGAGAGTGCAATAAGTTTTGATGAGGGCGGGAAACATCCACATGACGGATCCGCTGTGGTAGACGATGGCGTTCGTCATCAGGTAGTCGTTGAACTTGTCACCTGCGCTGAAAAACACTTAAAAAATATTCACTGCCAATTGTGGCATTTAAATAAATTATTTTAAATTAAGAGCTTGAAAGTGTCAATTGCATGTTTTCCATTAAAAAGAGTGTTAAAATCACATCAGGTGAGGTGTGAGTGCATTAGTGCAATGATTTAATCTTTATGTTAAAGTTCCTTGGTTGTACGTTTTAAAGAAATTAATTACAAATTTGAAATGACGAGATCGGGAATCCAAAGCTTGTTGGCCGGTATCCTAATGGTCTCGACATTATCGTATTCAGATTTGTTCCATTTTAAGTATTCATCCTCCCAACGCTGTTATATATATATATATATATATATATATATATATACATATATATATATATTATTGTATATTATCAATATATATACATATATACATGTATATATATAATATGTATTTAGTGTTTTTAATGTATGGAGCTCTCAAAGCAGCGGTGCCAGCCTCAGTCTGCAGAAGTGCAGCTAATGTATTATCTACCAGCCATGGTGTGGGAAGGTTACGTTCCAGGTCAGGGACCGTCCCTTCGTCCATGGAGAGATGGTATATGTATGTTGTGTTAGTGTGTGTGTTTGTGTGTGTATTTGGTGTATTTTCTAAGTGTATTTTGAAATAAACAAGATGACAATGTGATAATGTTAAGCAGCTGATGTTACTTCTCTGATTGCCAACAGACAAGTGAACGTTTGTTCTTTTTCGTTCTGCAAATGTTTATTTCAACAGTTTTTACGTTCATTTAGAATGTGAAACGAGCTATCATTGTTTATGCAAAAAATCAAAAAAAATATTCGTAAAATGATCATTTTAAGTTAACTTCTTAGTTTCTAACTACCGTATCGAGGATGTGGTACAAGGAAATTGCGAGGTTGACGGTGACTGGTGTCCTGTCGTTCTTCACGGGCCTCGTCGTCCTGTCGTACACTTGTATTATGTTCTTTTTTATGCGGATCTCATTCGACTTTTGTATTCTTGACGTTCGCCCAACAGCTTTCGAATAATAATAATGGGAACATCCTTTTATTTTCTAACTCCAAATACCAAATATTAATAATGAAATAATTATAAAATCCTATTTAATCTAAAATAATAATAATTATAATAATAATAATTCGAATAATAACAGAAAAAAACACACTTTTCTTGCATTGTGTTATCGTAAACAAACAAGAAAACAATCTCACAAGTCGCGCGTCGGCTCTTTGCAGATGAGCAATCAATAAAAGAAAAATATTGAATGTCTTATCGGAAATTGATCGGCAATACAAAGTGCCTGAGAAATGGTATCGTATAAAAAAATGGCAGCATAACTCAGCCAGCGGTTCGATTCGTTGCTTGTTGATTGAAGATATTTAATTTGCATTCATATGCATCATAATATCTCATCCATTCTATTTTAGAAATTTCTTTTGATAATTATCACATCTTCATGATTGATGTTTTTTTCTGTAGTTCTTGAAAATATTACTTTTTTATATCTATTCTTACTTTTGAGGAAATTTAAGGATCCGTGGTCTTTTAGACAATCTCGTAATAAGATGAATTAACATTTTATTTTACTTTTGATCAACTATCTGATGATTACATATTTCTTATTTTTCACGCAATTTCGTGCAAATTATGAGATTTCTATTTGTGTGTGTTTTAAGTCATTTTGCACGCCTTTTTTGGGATTGTTTGTGAGAGTATGTGTAATGCTCATAACATACGTAACTAAATAAACTGCTAAATTAATTTATGTGTTTATGTAATGTTCAATTTTTTTTCATAAGACGCGTGGCAACGCACGCTGGCAGGGCGTAGGTCCTGTGTTTTTATAAGTTTAAAAACTCTATCGCTAATTTTTCTAATGATATCTTACCTGGCTCAAACTCTTAATTGTTCTCATAAGTTTTGTCTTTATTTTATTTTTGATTCTACCGTGTCTCTTTCTTCTCAGATTATTAATGTTGCAGAAAATTCATATTTTCATCATTGTAGAATAAAATCTTACGCCTTCCCTTGATGATCCTACTTTGCATTTCTTGTTACTTTATAAGTTTTATTCACTGAATCTACTCTATATTTTTAACTCAAGCTTTTAATTCGGCTGCTTGTTCAGCTGCTCCTGTCCTTATCTTTTTCTCCTCCATCTTCTATGTTCTCTTGTATTGACTATCTATAAGATGTAGAATAATTTATTAAAATCTTTATATTAATGTACAAAACATTATCCCAAAGTATTTATAAGATATTTTAACTTAATTCCTGTTACACGCTCCTACGCTACATTTGTTTTTTTACTTTTTTTTCTGCAAATTTTTTTCGTTCACACTATGTATTATTAAACTCGAAACGGTTCAACGTTGCTACTGCTTGCTGCTTGTCGTTTTCTGAGTGAAAAGATTAAATTCATTGAAATTATAAATTTTTGCTCTTTATTCCTTCATTTCTAATCAAAATTCTCAATTTGAAAACAGTCATTACCAATCGTTAAGTAGATTGTACTTATAAAATAACAATATCGTGAAACAAATGATTTGTTAACAAAAAAGATTTACAATCATATTCCTGCATATTTAATGATGTTAATCAGTTAAATAATAAAAGATAAACATACCACTGATGAAGAGAAATAACGTCCATGAAATAAAAAAACTTATTTTTAGCAGCATTATATTACTGTAAGCATTACAACTTTAGCAACCTTAAAACTAATTTACAGACGCCTGATAATTTGCGGCTTTCGTACTTAAGCATAAACAAAAATGCGTCCACTCATATGTTGATATATTTATTAAACATGATACAAGTAAATGATGATGTGCGTGAAGTTCATGATATACCAGAAGTTGCATGACATACTTTTATAAAAGTTCTCCATTGGTTCATATTGCAATATTCGTCTTCTTCATATCGCTAACTACCTCCACTGATAGAATATAAAATTATTTTTGTGCTCTGAATTACATAAACAAATTTGGCGATATCGAGTCATCCTTATTTACTGCATATAGTTTATTTTGCCAATAAATCATTTGTTTGTTATAAGATTTTAAAGATTTTTCAAAATGTCCCGTTAATTTTTTTTGTTTCTCTCATTTTGTTCATATAGTACATTTTGAAAAATTAAAAAGACGGCGAAATAAAGCCAAATTTCTCCAATTCAAGTTAAAATTAATTATAAAATTAACTTAAATTTCTAACGTGAACTATAATTGTTAGGAATTGAGTTGTCAAATCAAGAATGATGCTGTTTCATAAGAAATCAGATTAAAATTAGCACAAGCAAAAGCTAAAATACTAAAATGTAATTTGTATAATTTCTCTTTCTTAAGAACACATAAAAGATTTCAAAAAATGTCATAGAAGTGAGCTGTTTCTACCTCAAAATTTCTCCCACACAACACGCGTCTGAAATAGCCTGTCATTCGAAACCAAACTGCTGGCCTCCTTGAGGCAAAACTCTTAGAGTTTACGAGAAAAGAAACTAATTTGAAAGCAGCCGTTTCCGTAAACAGGACACGTAAATTTTGGCCGACAACTCATTTAGAAAAAAAAAACTTTGACTTTAGGCCACGTCTGCTTCTTGACTATACCCATCATATCTTGGGAAAGATTAAGAAAATAAACTTCTACATAAATCAGGCGTGGTTGTACATATTTAAGGTAATATTGTTACCTCTATCGATCTTCGGCTTTCTGCCTACCCACGTTTGTCTAGCAAAATTTATAGCCAATGTGTTTTTCCAAATGATGTGCACGTGGTCATGCACGATGCATTTACTTCGTACTGGATCATTCGTCGTGTATATTGTCAAGTAACTCAAAGTATTTTGTTAACAAATTATACCGTGTTCCAATATTTGTCACAAATCTGTTAGAAGTTCAAAAAGGTGTTGGCAACTAAAACATTCTTTAGTTTGGCCCAGCTGAAGATCAACCCAAATTACTTGCACATGAAAACATCTTTATTCTGTATATATGGGATGGCCTATTTGACGTTTGATTTGCTAGTCTGTCTTTTGACCCTGGGTAGTGTCAGTTTGACAAGAATTTAAGTGATCAACTCGTGCAAAGTATTCATTCAACAAGAATGGTGCAGAAATTTTAAGGTTTATAAACGCAGAATACGAGGGTGCACGAACTATTTCAAAAACTCTGCTGAAGTACCTCAATAAGACAAAAACACCACAATATAAGTACCCCAACCAACCAAACTTTTCAATTTTCATCTTTAATGACCGCTGTAGAAATGAACAATTAAAGTGCTTAGATTGAAAAAATTTTGGCTACAGACGAAGTACTTTGCACCATTCCGTTTCTTTTAAATAAACATGACTTGATCATCTTATGTTTCATATAACTTTATATTCTTTAATTTTATTTTACCATGTTTTGCGTGTTACATGTCCCATGTGTATAGATGTCATATGTAAGTATATATAACATATAAGCCTTTTGCCTTTGCGTCATAAAAAGCATCTCCAACAGTTGTAAGGGGCAAAAGCATGCAACAACTCATCGGAATCTGTCATTGTTGACACATTGTTGTCAGTGTACACCCCTCTTGGTTGTAACAGATTTTACGCATGTTACTCTGATTTTTTTTTACAGAGAATCAACGACAAATTAGTTAAAATATTTCAATTTAATTTTCTAAATTTGAGTAAAAAATTAGAAATTTATTAGCACAAAATAATCTTAATGAACGACTTTAACGCAGAGATTTTACGAGCCAAAAAAAGACGGAATGTAATTACAAAAAAACTAAATTACGAAAAACTATCATCAGTTCTGGCGACGACACCAAGCGACATTTGATACCGGTTCTGATTTAGCAATCGAACATTAACATTCATTTCTCCCGATTGTTGTTCCAATTCCAAGTTTCCATGATTAACCTGAAAATGTTATTATGCCACAATAATTATAGCGGTACACGCAAAAGTTCAGTATAAAAGATCGTAAGACCGACCAAATGCAGAGCAGACATAAAGTAGCGACAGATTTCCTCAGAATTTTCGTTAGCAACAACTTTACTAAAATCTACAGGTCCATTTGATGATGACAGAGAACTGAGTTTGTTGATAATTTCAGCTTCATACTCATGCACATTGAAAGGTTTCTGTTGTTCCTGGATGAATAAATTCATTTGAAAAATGATGGGCGATAAAAAATTTCAATACAAAGTTTATCTAAGTTTCAATGATAAAATAAAATTAGGAATGTTGTCGAAAGTTTAAAAACTGATACAAACAGCAGCTATCATACGGCGTATTATACTATTTTCCAAGTTGCGTAAAACAAAGAAACTTAATATGTATGAATCCGTATGAGAACTATACAGTTTTTCATTCATTTTCAAAGTTTATTCATAATCAACAACATATATCAAATAAGTGAATGAAGTTGAATATGCGGAGCTCGAATAAGACTGTATGTCTTGTGGTGGCCACCGCAGGTAGATATATGAATATTTAATGAAATGAGGTAAGGAAAATAACTGAAGCAAAAAGATAATTGAAGATAAATAAAGAAATGTTCGTGTTATACATATATAAACATATAAATATATAAATGTTCGTTCAGTACATATATAAACATATAAATGTTTAACCATTGATAAAGATCATTCATCCGCTTCATTTGTTCTCACGTGTTCATAATATAGCATTAAGTGGTGGAGTCGAGATCCAGTGTTAATAAAGATAGTTTACGTATAGTTTATATATATATATATATTTATACACACACTATATATACATTATATACATACTATATTATCGATGAAAATCACAGCATGTTCGGCGTTAGTTAACTTCCAATTTAACTTTTCGATTTTTCTAACGGCTGATCGTAAATCATTTTCAAGTTTCTTTAGTTCGAAACCAAAAATTTTTTGTTTATTTTATGCATGATAGAACAGGAAAGCGTTTTCGGTATTCCTATACCATCTTCGGTGTTCATATTGATATGCCCAGATGCTCATATATATATATATATATATATATATATATATATATATATATATATATATATATATATATATATATATATATATATATATATATATATA